GGGACACAGGCTGAAAGGACTGAAGCAACTGGCTTGAGACAACATAGTCAGCACAGGTGCTGAAACAGTGGTTCTCAGCCTTCCTAATGCCGCTATCCTTTAATATAGTTTCTCATGTTGTGGTGACCCCCAACCATAAAATTATTTTTGTTTCTATTTCATGACTGTAATTTTGCTACTGTTGTGAATCATACTGTAAATATCTGATATGCAGGATGTATTTTCATTGATACAAAGGGGTCATGACCCACAGGTTGAGAACGGCTGTTCTACAGGGAAGCTTTAGTTCTGCTCTTAAACCCTTTTACCCCACTGAGTTAGGCCCAGCAAAATTATCTAGGATAATCTCCTTTGCTTAAAGTCAAATGATTAGTATCTTACTCATATCTACAAAGTATTTTCATAGCAAAATCTGGATTAGTTAGCTCGAATAACTGAAGGCTTCTGGCTTAGCCAAGCCAACACATTGAAAGGCCATCACCCTTTCTATGTAGATTGATATTTCCCATATTAGTGGAATAATTTGACTAGAAGACTTAAATACTCATTTCCCCTTTTAAAAAGTTGCAAAAGTTATGAATATGAAAATTTTAAAACATGGAATTTTGAAATTATTTGTTTTCAGATTTAGAAAATCAGTGGTCCTTTTCTGAATTCATGTAATTAATCCCTTTTTAATAAGCACATTGTAAAATGTAAATATATAAAAATTAAAATATTGGGTGTTATAAGGCAGAGATATGTCAATAAATATTAATTTAAGTGTGTGATTTTTATTTTTTGTGTTTTAAAATTTCAGATTAATATGAGGGTATAAATAACTAGGTTATGTTGTTTGCACATGCCCAAGTTGTAGTTGAGCCCTTCGTCCAAGAGGTGTGCTATATAACCCTACACTGTGCCCATTAGGTGTAATACCTCTCTCTCCTCTCCTCTTTTGCCAGTTGAATTTAATTTTTTCTCTTGTGTTGGTGTGTAGTTGTTCATCTACTGGTGTCATGTTAGTATTGAGTGCATTGGATACATTTCTTTCCTTTTTTGAAATACTTTACTAAGGAGAATGTTATCCAACTTCATCCAGGTTACTATAAAAGTTGTAAAGGCTCTGTCTTTTTAGTGGCTGCATAGTATTCCATGGTGTAAATATATTGCAGTTTATTAAGCCATTCATGGGTTGATGAGCACTTGGGTTGATTCCACATCATGGTGATTGTGAATTTAGATGTGACAACAATCTAGTGCCAATATCCTATGATGAAATGATATTTTTCTTTTGGGTAGATGGTTAGTAAAGGAATTGTAGGACTTTTACCTGTTTCAGGATTCTTCATACTTCACTCTAAAGAGGCTGTATTAGTTTGTAGTCCTACCAATAGTGTAAAAGGGTTCCTTTCTCTTCACAACCATGCTGGCATCATTTGGGACTTTGTGATGCAGGCTATTCTTACTAGGGTTAAGTGACATCTCAGGGTGGTTTTGATTTGCATTTTCCTGGTGATTAGGGACAGTGAGCATTTTTCATATGTTTTGGGAATGCCTTTTAATTTTATTGTTGCAAGGATTAAATACATACCAAGTGCCTCTTTTTTGATGCAGTAAGGGCACATAAGTCAAGAAATCCAGAGTGGGACAGCTGGGCTCCCCCTCAGAGCTCCTACTTCCTCTTGAATTTCCAAAGAAACGTGAGAGCTTTTGAAGGTCCAATAGTGGGGAAGGAGGGAGGACCAACATATCTTGTAAACAGTGAGAAATGCCTTTTTGACTGGCATATTAGTCACTTGTCCTGGAAGTGTAAATCTTATACA